CCTTCCTCTCTTCCTCCACCACTTGAAATCAGACCTCTAGTTAGTTCCCCAGTCGAGAAAGAGGAGTGGGACAAGTTGTTTTTAGAACAAATTTTTTTTTGACATAAGTGACCCAGATTTACATGTAGGTCGTGGGTATCAAGTTCTGTCTTCAGAACTTATTTTTGTGAACAATTAGTCATTTTTGTTTTATTCTCCTCCTGTACTAAGCGTAGGGTTTTGTTAACCATTTTGTTTCTTTCTTTTGGGTTTTCTTCCTGTTTTATTTTGTTTGATTTTCCAATGAGGGTAGACTCTTTCTTATTTTGTGGTTCCATCTGATAAACCTGTGGGCAATCATCTACTAACAGTGGACAGAATGATAACAACTGGTCAAGCTGTTTGTATAGTTTTTGTTGATGAATCTTGGTGGGTTTGGTGGGAGGAATTATGTGGGCTGGGACGATTTCGCCTCAAACTGAAGATTTCACCTTGTTTTTCGTAGTTGCATCCCCTTTGCCTGATTCTACATGATGCACTTCATATCTACATTCCATCCCTTCCCCCATCCCCACCCCCTTGCATTTGGCTCACTACTCCTTCTTTTTAAAAAAATCATCCTGCTTTAAATCCCTTTTCTTTCTTGCTTCTTAGTAAGAAAGTTCTTACCTGTTTTTGACAGCATTAGATCTTTAGGCACAGATTCAAAATTCCTATTTCCTCTCTCTCTATTTTTTACAACTGTTCAGCTTGGCTTGTAGAATATTGGAGTTTTCCATCGTCTGTTTTAAAACACTCCATTGTGCCATCTTCATGATCTTGTGCCAAGGGGTGTTGCGTACCCTAAAAGAGCTACATCCTTCTCTGTCGTCTTGAGGCTCGTCTTGATATCTCTCTTTCACTGGTGTGGTCTTTTGACACCAGTTTGCTGTCTGTAAAGCTGATCTCTGTTGAGGTCATGTCCAAAATTTTGGACCCTTTCTTTTCCTTTCATATTGTAGTTGTCAGTGTCTCTGTAGACAAGGTCATTTACATTTTTCTAACAAGTAGAAATGTTTTACCTCTTGTGGTTGAAAAAATACCAAATTGCAATCATATTCTGGTGAAACTATGTTCTGTCTTGTTGGTGGGTCAGACATCTTTTGAGAAACTTGATGTGCTCAAGAGTAGAGACTAGTGTTAGGTTCTTAAAAGGGCAAAAAATCACGGAGGTCCGTTGTGCAGGTTCCGCACGTTAAAGATCCCTTGGTGGTCCAAAATCGATAAGATTAGGCTTCAGCCACCACCCGGGCAAAGTTCGAAATTTCCTGCCAACTGCAAATGTTTAATGTGTCCGGCTCACTCATATGACCTTATGCAGTTACAAGCGCCGTAAAACACTTACAAAAACCCCCCCAAAACTTTCATAATTTAAAGTTTTCTGTCTGATCCCAGGGTTATGGTAGAAAAGATTTTCTTGCCCCTAATATTTTTTTTCTACACACTCTTCTTGGTCAGAGCTTTTTTTCTACACTCTTGTTCTTTTCATTATCAAGATCCTTTTTTGCATTCTTTTCTTTACGAAAACTTACTTTCCACATTCTTTCCTTTATCAATATTTTAAAAATTCATCCTGTCTTCTATCAAGTTTGCTTTACTTTCTTTCTTTCCCCAATTTTTTCCCCTCTATGTTTGTCAGTTGGAATTGTTCTGAGAATGTTTTTTTAAATAGATTGAAATGACCATTTGTGTCTAATCAAAGCTGCAGAGAATATTTGTACTTGCCGGAAGCTCCCAGGACATGCACAGGGGTTCTGCCAGTGGCCCGTGGGCGACATACGCCGTGGGGGGAATTGTCCCGAGAAGTTGCCACCCACATGCATTGTATACAACAGCGGCTGTCACTTGAGCTCACTCAGAGGGTCACAGCAACTCTAGCTAGCTCATAACTCTGTTACGAAATAGATTTCGGGGAGGGGGGGGGGGAATGTAACCTTAGGAACTTGTTTGGAAAGCTTTGGATTACCTTGCCTTCTATTTTTTTCTTAAATGTTAAATAGCTTTTACTCAGGTAGATGGTCTCATTCAGTACTAGAATACTTTATATCCTAATTGTTATTTAGGAGTGTAATGGTGAAAATTTTTTCTGGCAATCAGTTTTGCTCTCACATCCAGTAAGAATTTTTTGAATGTCTTTACTGGCTAGAACAGTACTTCTTAAATAGATATCAGATAAGCCCATGTTTAAAGGCTGTCATATGCTGATAGTGTCATTTACCTATAGACATCTCATTGATTCTCTGAAAGGACAGAGGGGGAGGGGTGCTGGAATTGCTGTTGCCCCACGTAGTTCTGTGTAAATTCTAAAGCTACACACTCCATCATCCTCATGTGGACTCAGTTTTTGTGACTGAAATGAAAGATACGTTTTTTCACCCATATATATTTAATGGACAAGATTTTGACTGCACTTTTTGTTTTCTGCAGTTTCAGATCAAAGTAGTTTGATGAGAGAATTTTTCTCTTGTTTTATTTAAAAGGGGGGAAAAAACGTTTTCGTGAAATTCCAGATACTTTTAGCGGTATGCTCCACAGTATAAAGACTTGTTTAGGTGTTCGGGGTTGCATTATACACAGACTATTGACCATTCTCAAGAGTCCATATTTGGATGCTTAATTTGCTCTCTTTTGTCGTTTCTTGTTCCAGCTCACACTTAACCAATGCACAGTCGCTTTCTTAATTTCTTATGTTTATGTATTCTCAAAGTAATCGCTGTATCTCTTATGTTCAGTCCGGCGTTGGGTTTTTCAACCTATCTTTCTTTTATACCTCAGTTTCACACACCTCCTGTAATCTTCCTCACATTACTCTTTATGTTAATCGGTATAGCAGAAATTGTTTTATTTTCCTGAGGCACTCAAGAGTGAAACGTACCTGGATAGCTTATTTGATGTCATTCTGGTCTACGATGTAGTTGGTCTTGGTTTAAATGCCTGACAGGGTGTTCTTGAATGTCAGTTGTTTGTGGAGATTTTCTGGCTCTTTACCTACTTGGCTTGGCCCTGTTGGAGACGGATATTTGAAGAGAGGTCCCACCTCTTTGCTGGTCCCATAGTGTGTAAGAGGTGTTAAACTGGATGTTAAACTAGTGTACCGTAATACCTAAGGTGGGAGAAGTACATCCAGTGGCCCTGAAGTTATATTTTAAACATATTTATATCTATGTCTTCGACCTCTTGTACACCTGAAGGAGATGCTAAATCCATTCTATATCTTACTAAACTGTCTTTTTAAACTGATTTTTTCTTGCTCTTTCTTTCTTTGTTGGTCTTCCTTGGCAGTAAAGAAAAAAAATAAAACATGTCAGAATATTCATAGGCTACTTACTGTCAGTCTTTAAACTCGCTTATGTGCGGTTAGTGTAGTGGTAAGGCTCTTTGCTGTTGCACCCAGTGTAGGAAAGTCCATTTCCTTGAATCTCCCTCTCAGCTCGAGTTGGCCTTGACAGGTGAGGTGGGAGTAGCCTACCTTCTAAATTATCCAAATTGCATGAACGTAGGAGGAAAATATGTTCTGTGTGCAATGGAATATTGCCTTCTTGTATAGTTCCAGACTTGTATGTATGGACGTTGTATTACGTTTAGGTTATACTTTGGCTTTTTTATGAATCGTTTGGCTGGGTGGTTAAAGGGTGCCTTTGGTAGGTCCTCTTCCTTGTACTTGTCTCTGGTGTTTCTGTCTGTTGTATACCTCTTCCTTATTACCACAGCTGGAAAAAGCACTTGTTGGGTCAGTGTACTACTCTTTGGCTCGAGGAAAGAGAAAACTGCTTGTTTTTTTCAGTTTGGTGTGCACTTTGTTGGAGGCCCCACTGTTAGATCCTATTCTGCTCTTAACACATGTTATTTCAGTTTGTCTCTTTTTTCTTTCTTTCTCTCCCCACATATTGGCTGTTATATCATGTCGGTGTGCCTTTCTGTTCTCTCACTACATTAGTGTTTATCGTTGTATTGATGTATTTCCCAAATTTGTGTTGTCAATGCCGCTGCCTCACAGGTCTGGTTTTTATGTTCCCCCTCCACCGTTCTATGACTTTTGATGTCTGTCATCATATTTTTCCAAGAAACATTTCCCAAGGGATGGGTGGAGGATGCCACTGGAAGCTCCCACCACTCCTCTTTTGTTGCTGCGTGTCCCTCCTGTTTATCTTTCACCCAGAACTTAATGAGAGTTATTGTGTCGATGTGGCTTTTCTTTAACCCAAACTCGAAAACAGGAGCTTTCAACTAATTCCTCTGGTCAAATTTCTCTAAAACAACAAGTATACTAGTTTGTTAAGCCAGTTGCAAAACTTTGATTCAGAAATTATTCCACATGGTTTTACTTAAAAAAAAAAAAAAGATTCTTAAGTGGGGTT